AAAAATATTAAATTATCATGGTTTGGAAGAATAGCATTAGAAAAAAATGAAAATTTTACCTAAGATAATGTTTTTGTTTAGGATGTTACCAATAAAAATATCAGATATAGAAATAAAAAACTGGCAAATATTAGTAAATAATTTTGTTATGGGAATAAAAAAGTGAGGATTAATAAAATTTACTGGCATAAATGCCAAAAAGATGGACGCTTGGGTCTCCCAAATTTAAAATGGTATTATAACACAAATCAATTAAGATACATTATAGATGGAATTACAGAGAAAGGGGAGTTTGATTGGCTAGAGATGGAAACAAAAGAAATAGAGAATAAAATGGAAAACATATTTTACGGACTTTACCATGAAAGAAATGAAAGAAATAGAAAACCCCTTTCCAAAGAACATACTAGAGAACTGGAAAAAATATAAAGAAAAATTAATGCCAACTATCTTTCCATTAACACCAATTATAATGATAAAAAAAATTCCAATAAATTTAAAGGAATTAGGGAAAGAGTTAAGGAAACAAGAAATATATAGGATAAAAGAGTGGATAAAGATAATGAAGAATAAAGGAAAGATAAAGGAGAAATTATAAAGTTTAAAATTAACCTGGTTTAGTTGTATTCAACTGGAACAATGGACAAAAAAAATGAAATAAGAAAATTATAGAATTTGAGAATATATGAAATTTGAGCAAATGATTAGGCCAAGAGATAGTATGGAGGTAAATGAAACTTTGAAAGGAATTACAAGTGAAATATATAAACTACTATTAAAAGATGGGAGGAGGATTTAGCACAAATAATAAATGTTCAAGAATGGGGGGGGGGGAAATGGAATCAACACCATTTAAAAAATTTATCCATATGGATAAAGGAGAATTATCATAAAGTACTATGGAGATGGTATTTAATACCAGTAAGGTTAAACAATATAAATAAAAAATATTCAAGGCTATGTTGGAGGGGATGCCAAGAAATCAGTACATATTTCATATGTGGTGGGGTTATAGATCTGTAAAGAAATTTTGGCAACTAGTATTTAAAGAGATAAAAGAAATAACAGAAATTGATCTAGAATGTTGTCTAAAGATAGCATTATTATCTATATATGATAAGATCAATAGTACTCAAGCTAGAAAGGATTTAATTGCAAATTTATTAACAGCAGCAAGACTAATTATAGCAAAAAAGTGGAAATATCAGGGAGATCTACAAATACAAGATTGGTATAAAGAGATATGATAAATAGCAGTTAATGATAAGTTAACTTGTGGAATTAAGGTTAAAAAAAGGAATAATGAAGAGAAATGATTTTGAAAAAATATGGAAAATATTTGTATAAAAGGCTTTAGTAAAGGAGGGAGGTGT